GATTTCTAATTTCGTTGCTTAAATAAACATAATAAAAATAATAAAATCTTGTGAAAATTTGTCATATTCAAAGTCGTATTATATGGTTTATAAATAGAATCTTGAAAATACAGGTTCAATGAGCCCTGTAAGAAGCGTTTCACTTTCAAAAAAAAAAAAAAATTAACGAAATCAGATCACTCTACTAGGCATGAGAGTTTTTCCTGTAAGGGCATGTTTTGGAGCAAAAAAAACAGGTCACGTGCAGGCCCCTTAATAATTATGTTATCACTGTTATAGTGTTATCAGTCAATCAGTGGTTAAAAATATTTTTGTCTTGAAATTTGAAAACACATTTTGAATATTATTTATGCAAATATTAAACAATAATGTATTCTAGTTTTACGGGACGAGAATTTCATAATATGGGACATTTTTACGATATTGGATCTGTTACGGGGACACCGGGACACTGTCATGAATTACGGGACGTTCCCTTATAATACAGGACGTATGGCATCCCTGTATAGTAGTTAACTTGAATAATATAGTTAAATAACATTTTTTACGATGTGACTGTAACTTACTTTCTCGTATTTATTAAAAATCAATAATTTTAAGTGTTATAATTTAAATGAAGTTTTTGTCAATCTTTTAGATTTTGGTAAGTATCATAATATAGTGTTCGGTAGAGCTTTTTGGCGTGTGATTGGTTTAATGTTTCCTGGAAAAATATTAAAAAAATAAAATGAAAAATGATTAAAATATATTTCCTCATTTTTTTCACAATTTTTTTTTATTCATTATTAATATTTTAGTTTAAATATGAGATTCACATAATGAACAGCAACTGATTCATATTCGTTCACGTATTGTCTTATTTTATTCAATCAGCAATATAGTATGCTACTATCAATATTGGATTATGTGAAAATTGTTATGAGTTTAAAACTATAAACAGTTATAAAACGGTGTCAACGATCGTTTAATCGATATATATGTAATATAATATATTTATAGATTGCTATTCTGCAATTTTACTTCAACAGTTTATCACATTTACGACCTAGTCATAAAATGTAGACTGAAATTCTTTACTTAGTATTGATGTAGAAAATAAAATTCTAATATATTAATAATAGGTATGTTAGTTCAATTAAAATTATTTAAATAAAGAGAACAAAACAATTTCTTATGAATCATTGCTTAAACTTTCAATTTTCATTAAATTATTTTTACTTTGATAACTTTATTCCTATAGGCTATCTACCATAACCCTCTACCTTTATATAAATGTCAAACTTCTTCCTACATAAATTTGAATGCTTTTTTATTATTTTTGATGACAGTATCCAACAGTTAGGTAAGGTTAATAGTAAGGTAATAGCTTTTTGGATGTTTTTGCTAGATTCCATTAGTGATTACAACTATAATATTATTTCATATGTATGAATACGTTTAATAACATTTAATTAATAATAATGCTCTAACTTTAAGTGTATGAGTATGAGTACTATTTAGTGTAAATGTTATGAGTATTTCCGACCTAGATCAATAGCCAACAGGATGACTGACGTTATACTTTAACGTTTATATAACGTATATTATTTTCTTGATTGTACCACTTCTCTTATTTAGTAATAACTAATAACTTATATGTATTATATTCGTAATATACCTATAAAATAATTATATTAAACAATAATAATGTAATGAAAGTATAATTGTAATTTGAAGGTACCTACCTTATTTATAGATCAGTAGTTTTCACGTTACTCATCGTCGGATCACATCGTTGAAACTGACTAATTTTACGTGAATCGATCAATACCGTAGGGAGTGAGTCATTCGAATTCTTTTTACGCATCATTATCACACAATTCGCGACACGGGTCAGTGTTGGCCATGTCGACATTGAATTTCGAGCAAGGTCATCGTTTTTATTTATTATACATACTAATATGATGTACCTACATATTATTTTAATCCTTTATAATCGTATGCCATATAATCTTTATTATCAAGATTATAACAACTTAGCTATTGCCTGTTGAGAATAGCTTATTAATTAATTATTGTTGCAATTTTTCTCGAAAAGTTATTTTGTTGAAATATTTAATGGTTAATTCTGTGTAAATGATTATTGTAGACTTCTCACTTCTATTATAACGTATACGAATTTCAATTACCTACTTATAATTCGTATAATTGTATATGAATGTTAACTTTTATTAATAAATTTACTTATTATGATGCGTCTTGTGACAAACGGTAATCTGAAACTTTTCTTCCTCCTACTTTTGCTGATTTAGGACATTTTCCTGGTTAGGAATGTACTTTTTTTAAAGCTGATGTTTCCTCGTATTTTTTTTATTATTTCGAGAAAAAAAATATTTTGTGGATGAAATCTTATTTGATACAAAAAAAAGTTGTATTATAATAATACATATTTAAAACGAATGGTTTATAATATCATTTTTTAGTACCTAACTTTAATGATTTATAAATTAAAAATATTAGCTATTTTGACATGACATTTCTACATATTTTGTTATCCCTAAATAATAAATACAGAGTTTTAAGTCTTCGTATATTTTTTTAGAATGAACCATATTTTATTAGATACATAATATTATAGATAATGAATCTGATATCTGAATTGCTTTAACTAACATCCAAATATTTTATATTTATTATTCATTTTTTATTGGAACCATCACTTGAAATGACTCTTTGTAAAAATCAACAGGGCCAAAAAGTCCTACTCAACCAGTATAGCCTGGGGGAAATTGTGTAATTACCACGTCAAGCCGCAATTATTGCCAGCTTTTCTTTTATAGGTCCCTCATACAGTATTGTCAAGTATAGGCAGTAGTATAATATTCGATTCAGACATTTGCCATCTGCAAAATTGTTTGGCATTTCAGAAGTTGTCTCAACTTGCATATTTTTCCAATCAAATGTTCTATTTTATTACAATTAATTTCATGAGTTCAATATACTTAATATATTACTTATTTCGTAATAATGTTTTACTTTTAATAAAATATAATTCATACAGTTGTGTGTTTATATTTTTTAAAATTGAAATATAATGACCATTAATTATTATGCTATTACAACATTATTATTAATATCTCTATAGTTTATTAAATTGTATTACATTTTTTGTTATCTACAAACAATATTACGAATATGTCCAACTAAATATGTTAAATAGGTTCAAAAATATGCAAATATATCGCACCTAACTTTAATGCGGAGTTTTATCAAATAATCAATATAACGATAAATGACTCATTCGACTACCCTCTGTCCAGTATAAACAGTGGGAACTGTTGAAAACCACTGCCGTCGACGATGAGTCACTAGTCGGTTGCGGCAGACGAAAGGGGAGAAAGTGTCGTCTTATGTTTAGCGTGTATATCTACCGTTATAAGTTGTCTGTTGAAATGGATGGCGAATAGTTATATTAATTTTATTGATTTACCCAAACGTCTACACGCTATATACATCCATTTAATCTGCACTCGTACAATGCAAATTAATAATACCTAACATTTTCATTTGTAGATACATAATAAGGACTTTTCAAAGAATAATATTTCAAGTAATTCAGTTGGATTAAAAAAAAAGCTCTTATACAAAACTTTTTCAATAGTATGATGTAATTTAATGAACTAATTATTGGCTGTATAATATTACTATAGTTGTTATTATTATCCTTGTTTTAATTCTTTTGAGCCAAACCTCAATTTTTCCTATTGAGTTTAATGCATAAAAAGTTATTCTTGAAATCAAAATTTAGAGCTAATTAATCATTTATTTACATCTGTATTTTAATAACGTTTGAGTGAGCGTTTGAGGTATAAATAAAAATAAAATAAGTATATTATATTGTTTTATCATTAACTTATATGCTTCAAAATATAAAATACTTATAACACTTAGTATATTTATATTTATGTTACCGGGGTAATAACCAACACGATGTTTAAATTTTAATATAGGTTTTCTGATACGAAAAAGTTTTTAATAATTTATCATATGATAATAACTATGTTGGTTGACTTTTATATTTACGTTTTTTTTTAACTATTCAAAATGTAATAAAATAATCTAACATTAATTATTTAGTAAAAATACTTAAAAATTAACATTATGTATTACCATTGATTATGAATACATATTAGTATTATAATAATATATTATATATTTTTTTTTTTTTTGATAACCCGTGGCATCATAGGTCATTGGGTGTGGGGAGGGAACTGTACACGGAAAAAAAAACATGGTTATAATTACCAGAATATGATTCATACTACCAGAATTTTTGGTTGCACCCGTGACAACAACATGGTTAGTTAATATCACAATAAATATTTGGTAAACTGTATTCGGTTACAATTACCAAATGAGTTGTTAAAATAACAATACAGTATTATGTAGCCATTACTTATATAGTCGTTGTCTCCACAAATAACCTCTGTTGTAGATAATTGGCAGTTTGGTTGAAACAAAGATATATCTTCAGTGATTTTAGCAATAGTTCAGTGTCTATAATGAAAGACCTTACAGTAACAGCTACTAGAAAAGTTGTTGATATGACATTACGTTGTGTTTCAATGACACATAAATAAATGTGAATGTTACTTTTCAATTTGTAACTTTTACTAGCTATATAATTGAAGTAATTACAAATTATTTTGTTAATGTTACAATTATTATATAGGTGGGTCATAGGTAATAATTTTAGGAAATACACAATATTGCACTTGAATACTCCTAATAATGATGACTGATGAGTAATAAAACCAAGGAATTAATCTATAATAAATAATTTGGAAAACAAAAAATTAAATTATAAAACGTTTATTTAATATAGCACATAATAAATAATACAAATTAACTCAAAATATTGATAATTTATACCTATATTAGCATAACATAATAAACAATTGCATGAACACATAGGTGATAAATAAATAATAAAAATACAATATAAGTACCTATATAACAATCTAAATACTGCTTCTTAGAGTTACATAACTACATCCATTTGATGATACACTAATGTTATTTGGAATATAAGAAAATAATGCATGGTGATACACAAATGTACATTCATCATCCAGTTTTACCTCATATGAAAATACATGATCATCAAATGCAACAGTATTAGTACGCTTACACTTAAAAATTACCAAAGTATCATTAAATAAAACAATGTCTTCTATTATTCCAAATATAGGAAGATCATTTTCATGTATATCTAATGTAAGTACTAGCTTTGGCTTATATTTGGTACCTTTTATAGATACCCAAGGACACTTAACAATAGATTCTACAGAACTAAATTGTAAAAATTTTTTTAAAACTTCCAATTCTAAGTCACTCAGGAGCTTGGGAGGACCTGTTTCAAAATGGGTAGGTAATGATCCTTTAAAAAAAATATTGTTTAATTGCAACTGATGTTTGATTGCCAACGTTTTACATATATTTCGTCTATTGCTAGTAGTGTTTGCAGCTATTTTGGATATCCTATGTTTTGCCTCAAACCTCATTGACCATAATGCTACAAGGGGGCCAAATTTTTTTAACATTGTATGGTAATGTAACATGAAATGATGTTTTGGCTTAAGATTTTGTTTACTATACATAAGATAAAGGTCATGGTGTTCAGCTATTAATGTTTGTAAGAGTTCACACGAATCTATTTGCAATGACATAGATGTTATTAAATCAAGAATTTGTCTTAAAAGTATGTACAAATGCCATACTGGATCATTTTTGGGAACAAAATCTCCAATTAATAAGCCAAAGTACCGAACAAATACCAACATTTCAGATGCAGACAGACGAATATTATTTTTATGAATATTCTCCATGATTAATACAGGAGGCTTACTGCTACTATCTGGCCCATAATCAAAATGAATCATTCTCTCATTAAGAATTTGTAAGGAAAACATTTTTAATTCATAAATATAATAATTTAATAAAAATGCTATATCAAACTTGCATACCCCTTCCAATAAATCATGCATAATGTCCATACCACTTTGATCCAACACATTGAAACCACATACATCATGCCAAACACACACATCTTTAATGCCACTAGTTGTTACATTACATTCTAAAACATCTAGGTTATATTGCTCCAAACTCCTAATTAAATTAACATCAGCGTAGCATTGTTTTTTCATATCTTCTTTCCTTATTTTACATACCCTGCATGGATAATTAGAAGAAAAACTTTCTACAAATCCGGTTATCGAATGAATACCAAGATTATCCCCAACAATTAGACCTAATTCAAATTTAATATTTCCTTTAAAATCATCAGATTCAATCATAATACCAGTTTCCTTTAAATAATTCAACTCATTGATAAGTGGCCTAAAAATGATATGGTTTCCAAATTGCTGTCTGTCAGATGAATGAAATAATAAAGCTAAAAAAATATTGCTCAAGGAAGATTGTCGGTGAATGGGTATGCAAGGAACAGTAAGATAAACAGCTCCTAATTTGTGTATACCTGAATGACTACCCAAGGGATTACCTACCTCATAATCGTCAAAAAATAAAAATATAGGCAAAACAATTTGACTTTCATCATAATCTTTAATTTTTTTTTTCCAAACACTACCTTGAATAAAATTCGTTAACACAGCATCGCAACTTTTTACTTTATTTACATAGTCAATTGTATCTTTTAAAATATCTTTTAGTTGAAAAAATTTTTTTAAAACATCACGAGTAGGAATAAATTGTTCAGTACAATGCGTTGGAATGATGGAAAATGTATTGTTGTTTCTATTTTCATTCAGCCTCTGTCCTATTATAATCTCTATGGGCGGAATATAAGTACCACAATCTGTATAATATTTAATTCGCTTATATTCAGTATTTAAATTTGTAAAACGAGATTCAAAGCCTTGAAATGTAGTGTTAATATGGTCAGAAATATTTGGAGGAATTCCTGTAGCACAATTCACCAATGACCCTTTAATACCTCTTATTATATCAGTTACACCTTCAGTAACTGTTTGTACAACATTACGTGGTATTTGAGAATTAGCATATAAAGAAGCTAAAAATTGTTCAATTTGGTTATTTGGAAAATTAGGATTATTAAAGTTATCAACCAACAAAGGTTGTATAAGTGGAATTTCAATGGAAGTAGATGTATTGGCAAAACTTTTTTGACTATTAACTGATGCCAATTCGTTACTCTGAAAACTAGTTGTTACAAAATGTTTTGTATGTATAGAAGTTTGAGAGTAATGAGTTGCAGCAACATGTTTTTTAAATGAATTTAACAAATGAAATGACCTATTACAATGATTTTCTATACATATATATTCAATGAAATCATGCTTAGCGTGCTTATATTGGAAATGTTTACATAATAACACTATATTAGGTGATGTTTCTTTACAAATAAAACAACAAGGCATAATGGAAGTTTTAAGAACCTATATTTAAAATGTTATACTTTCATAATCTTATAAAATGTAATAAAAACACATTGAATTAGTTACTTAAATTTAAAAACTAATATATGAATATATTATAATGAATACATGAGTTATTGAACAACAAAATGTGTAATTGAATACAAATTACATTGAATAATGAATACTGATTATAAAACATTAGTTATCCCTATATCACTTATAAGTGAATTCACTGATATAAACTCAGTGTCCCAAACAGTTTTAATTTTAAAAAAAACCTTTTGAATAAATGTCCAAACTTGTAGGCATTCTATTGGATATTCTAAATTTAACGCATGAATAACTTTGAAACAACAATCAATTGCCCCAACAATTGAGTTTAGAACATAATAAGTGTTATCAACATAAACATAAAACTGTGCAATTTCATTGATGCTAGGGCCTACAATTATGATAAAAGGCTGTAAGGTGCAACCAAGTTGAGCATACTTGTTTTTTCTTCTTGTTACTGTTTCCTGTAATTCACTGTAAGATTTCAAATGCGTTATAAAGCCATCTTTCATCTCAATCTTCGAAGGTTTCCAAGAACTATTTTTTCCTTTCTTTCTTTTGGTAGAAGCTGGACTGAAGAGAAATGGCAAAATTGAAAATGTGGCTATAGCTGATGCTTCTTCACTTGCTGAAAAAAAATTAATAATTTAATAATAATTAAGTACTTCAAATTAAAACTTGCTTATGTACCTAATGCCAAATCAAGATATTCGTTCAAAATTCCTTTGATGGTATTGTCCCTTAATTTTAGTGATGCAGTTTTGGCCAGTTCCAAAATTCTTGTTTTATAAAGCGGAAATGTTTCATAAAGGCTGTTTATTTTGTCAGGATGTATGAAGTTAAAATCATCGATCAACTAAAAATATAAGAAATGTTTATATGAATACTACAAAATTAATTATTACATTTATTAAGTACATTCTAATAACTTTATTCATGACCAAAATTAAAATGTTTTAAATATTGATCATGAAAAAAGCAATTGCAATAGTCAAAACGGCACGTGAAAACTTGTATTATAGTTGATTAAATCTTACTAGATTATATCCAGCTGGTTTTTGTAAAGCTGGGTACTCCTTCATATAATCTGCTATTGATATCTTTTCATAATTTGTGTCCAAAATTTTTTTTAAACGGGTGGCTCTTGTAATAGACCAATGTTTTATAACAATATCCCATGGATCAGAAGAATTGTGGAGCCAAGATAATGATTCATCGACATTTTCACTATCTATAAAAAAAAAAATGTAAAAAATAAGTGTTTTGTTTTCTATATAAAATTAAAATTTTTACCAGTATAAACAACTTGTTGGGCACTAGCTAGTAGTAGTGCTGATTTTGGTAGTGAATGGTCTGTACGCGTAGGAGAGTTGACTATTAATCCTGCCTTCTTATATTCCCTCCTCCTGTTGTTAAAACAGTCTAAAAGTTTCCCTTTAGCTGACTTTTTTAACGTGGGGCCTGTTGAATAAAATATAAAAGTTTAAAAAATAAATGAAGTTAAAAGGTACTTAAACATATAGGAAATATTTTACCATAGTTTATGTACGGAATAAAATAAGTGCTTATATGTTCCCCTGGAAAAATTTTAACGATTTCTTGTGAAAGACTGAGTAAACGTGGAGTTTTAAAATGTTTTTCTGGGTCGTCTTGCAGTTCTCTTCTCACTATAATGTTACACAATTTTCTTCTAGCAGCATTGTCTAGAGTTGTTTTATTGGCTGCCAAAATCGCACGACCTTCAGAATTTTTTTTCAAATAATCCAACAGTGGAAGACCCTAAACATTTTAAAATATTATATTAAAATCTAAATATTAGAAATAAATCAATGTTGAATGTTAACTCCTGGTTAATAAAAATATAGATATTTGTAAAAAACTTATTGTAATTGTTTAATAAACTCAAGTCACTATATTTTTATTAGGTATTCTACAACTATACAACTATACAACTAAGATACAATGATATTATTTAATTAGAGAACTTTATAACTTGCTTTAAAATTTAAATATCAATAAAAGCCTATGAAATATCCTTTTTAAGATTCTTATCTTTAAGTTTTATAATAGGTAAATTTACTTTAATATAAAAGCCAAAAACACAAATGGTTCTGATGAACGCAAATTTGGTATGAACTGATAGTAGGTACATTTATAATACAAAAAAAAATATATCTACCTCATCTGTTTTACTATCTATCGAAGAATGTGTCGATGTTTCACTATTCATTACTACAGACTCAGTATCATCAGTGTTTGGAGTTAAATTATGTTCTTCGAGTTCAGGAATAGTTAATAGTGGTGTAGTACTTATATTTAGGTCTTGAGCACGATTATCTAGTAGATAACTGTGATCTTGAGGATAATCATTTGAAATATCCTAATAATATAGATGAATCAATTTTTAATAAGTAGCAAGCGCAACATGTAAGTACCAAAATAGTTTGAAAATATAGGTATATGACAATTACAGAAAACTAAAAAAATTTAACAAATTTAACAAAGTATACATTTGAATGTATAAATCACCAAATTTCATCAAATAAAAATACTAACTTACCAAAAAGTTTACTTTATTATTAGACATATCTAATATTTTACGCCAATCATTTATATTTGACTTTAATTTGGCTCTATCACCAACTTTTGGCACTATTTCTTTGAGCATATCTTCATCAAGCATACTAAGAGATGAAATATCTATTCCATGATCTAACGCATAGATAAATTAAGTTAAAAATATGTTTGGTATTAATATAAAGTACCTCAGATCCACAAATTAACCAAGGGGAACAAATCTAGTTTAGCGCCCACGTGAATTTTTGAATTTTAAAAAAATTTAATTTCGTCAGGTAAATAATTTAGTTACAATTTATATTAATAAATATAGTCTAACCAGGGTATATTCCTATATAGGTAGTCTATATTGTGTCATAAAAAACAATGTGTTTGGTAAAAGAACAAATAATTAAATAAGATTATGAATACGTACCTTTGAAAACGTCAATGTAGCTCGATAATCCCCAAGCATGAAGCATGTCTCTGACGTCAGAATCAGCCATAATTATTTTGTTAATACCATAACAAATTAAAATTTATTTAAACACAGAACGGGCGAGTCAGGAATAGAAGTATGCTAAGTAGGTACACAGTGTCCCAGAGAGTAGTGACTAGTGACTATTAAAGTATAATAGTGGTGACTTTGTGGTCAGCACAGACGCACAGTGCATGACGGACGTATCACGTATAGAACGCTGGGTTTTCCCCATAAATGTAGAGATAACAACGAAAACTTGGTAACGGATAATATAAAACTGTTATTTCTACGCTATTTTCAATCGCTATTAGCACATTTCGTTTGGTATATACAACCAAACAATAGTGAATACAACGTTATCAGTCACAAAGTTAACAATACATTGAGTTGAAGCAACTAGCGACTGCTAACATTAACATTTCCCATGTAAAGTGTACAAAAGTTTGCAATAACTATTGAGTAAAATATTCAACATAATAGATTTTTCATTTAACTAGTATTTTATCATATCCACAACATAAATGTAAAATGTTACCAGAACACTAAGATGGTTGGTAGTTTTAACACCACACTTGGTAGTTGTTACATGAAGGAATAGTAATTACTACATAACCATTCGTCTATGATTACACAATTATTATGTTTACTTTTTATTTTGTAACAGATACATAATATGTGTTATTTTAAATATGAATATGGTTATATCAGAATAATCACGATCAACAAAATTAGTTTTGTTGGTGTTGTTATTCACTTAGGTATGTTATACATTTTTTTTTGTTCTATCAACTGAATTATGATTAACAATACAGATTAATATTTAACATAACGGTTTTGTTAAAATTCACTGAGTTATTTTTTTCCGTGTAGATTTGTAGATTGGGTATGTTGGTACACGTGTGTGTTGTGTTTTGGCAGAATTTCTAATGGGGCACCCGTATGTTTCTGCTATGCCCCGGGTGGGGGATTGCGGCACTTGTTCTCCGGACACAGTGACTTGCCCGAAGAAAAATACCGCCCGTGACCAAGGAATCGAGCCGGCGGTGGCTGCGTCGCAACCGACACCTTAGACCGCTTGGCTACTCCGTCCCACAATATATTATATTTTTATAGTATTAAAGTATTCATAATCAATGGTATTACGAATAAATATTATTATATTATACAATATTTATCTATTTATTCATTATCAATTCCTAATATAATGTTTATATTTTACTGCTTGATTTAATTAATCAATAAATAATTTTTTAATATTATATAATATTATTATCTACTAATAGAATTTACACAAAACTATTTATATTAATAATTCAAAGAAAACATTAATACCTAATATTTCTATTTTTACTTTATAGTATTTATTTATTTATTTATTTAAAGTTATACCCTCCTTTTTTAGGTACCTGGTTCTGAAATAAAAATGTATTCATGTTAATAAACTGTGTTGTATAATCCGTATTTTTAACACAATAAATAAATATAAGTTAATATAAGATCACTTGAAGTCAGATACTGCATTATTAGAATTAACGTTTTCAGAACGTGATAAGTTTGAGTGCAATCTATTATTTATGGACTTAAATTAAAATAGATCATTAATATTCGTCACTATTTAGAGTGGGCTCATTATAAATAGTTGCTGTTTTATATTTTTATATTAAATTATACTTTAAGGAACAAATTAATAAATTAAAAATACTTTCAAATTGTTATTTTATTGTAAATGATTTTATTATAATAAATTATTATATCAATATTTATACTCGGTAGAAATGTAGACATTTTAGTAACTAACATACGAATAATTAATATTAAACATTAATAATAACTAGGTACGTTGAGAAAAAAAAAATTTTCCATTTTTAAAATATGCATATTTTATTAAAGTTTACAAATACATTTAATCTGTAGCGTCTTTATGTTAATAGTTTTAAAAATCACACCTATTTAATTTATCAACTACAATCGGAATTAATTTATCAAATATAATAATTATCACCTGTACGGTTATACGATTGTCTAGTTTTATTTTCTTATCAAAAATGGTTTATCTTTAATCGCAAAGGTCTACTGGATGTATCGTATATAAAATGTATATTGTATTTACAAAATTTTATATCATAGTTGTGCAGAAAAATAAGATAATTTAATCATCGAACGTAATAAAATATTTGAAACCTATTCTATTATGCTGTATTAATAATTAATGCACGACAATAGTTAAAAGAATCTCTAATTATTTCATACTAGCATAATTTATTTAGTAGTTATAAAAACATCAGTTTATGTAATATTGTTTGGCTTCTTGATTTTTAATGTTTTTGGTGTTTGATTATTAACTAATCTAACATAATAAATTAAAAAAATAAATTAAAATTCATATTTATTGAACTATATTATGTACTATTATGTTAGAAATTATTTAAAATATAATATTCCATTTATTCGTTGAAATTAAAAACGTGCAGATCACATCCAACAGGTAGCAATTATTGTTAATATTTTATGTTAACAATTACAGTAAAATAAATATTACTGTCGTAGAAAATGCTTATTTGGTTGGAATAAGTGAAATTATATTACTTTTCTATTTCATAACTGTCGCTGCAAATCTGCTTCAGCTTGATACTATACGTTTTGCATTGGGTGTGCATAGCATAGCAAGAGTCTAAGTAGCATAGTATAAGTTAAATATACATCATAACTAACATAATACAACTCGGTTCAAGGACAAAGGTAATGATCACAGGATGTATGCAAGACATACCCGTTCAAATTGAATTATGTCTGGTGGCCAAGTCGATCGCTTATCCACTCGTCTATCTATTTAATTTTTATTATTATCAGTGCAACACGCTCGTATACGACGCACGTATAGATGGACGTTTATTTTAAATCACGTACCTACCTTATGCATTCTCATATTCCACTATATTTTTGTTTAGTAATACAAACTATGATATTATTTTCTTTTGAACGCCGTGTAATACCGGAAATCATCATTATCAACGCATTCCCCGATGTTTTAACTAAATATTGATTGTTACTGTCGCTTATTTTATTAATTTTAAACGTATTGTAACTAGTAGTCCGTTTTACTTCTCATTTTAACTACCAACTTTTTGTGCTATTGAATAATAAATTGTTAAATACAGATAATCTGAGTATTATACAAATTATAATTCTTTATATTCAATGAACAAATTCCCCGCCGACAATTTAGACTAGTGTTTTCATAGATAACGCTGCAACAGTGTGACATTTAGATTAGTAGTGGGGCTAACGATAACCAATTTTGATTTTTTCGTTATTATTGTTTCAGAATAATTTGACAAAGAAGCTGTGTCACAAATCGAACACTGTTAATCGGAAGAAAAACACTGTATAGTGGTTTACTTTGTAATTGTTAAGTTGTACACACACATAAAACAGTTTTTCTTCATTTCGGTAACTAATTGAATAAATTGCACAATATGGGAGCCAGACAAAGTAAAAGATCTGTTGACATATCTGCCGGAGCCACAAAAGCAGAAAAAGTTGCAGCTGGAGAACCTTTGGAAAATGGAACAATTACAACTGCTTCTGTTGACGAAAAACAAGTGGTTGAGGCAAATGGTGGAGTAGAAGAAACAACAAAACAGAATGGATCAACACCCCACATAGATGAAAAGGTATGATTATGTATTATATTATTCTATACCAATTTTTATAAAAAAAAATATATATACTATTCCATTTTTAATATTTTACTTAAGATATTTAATATGATATTATAAAACTTAACATGCATAGTTTTATATAATAGGTTGATGGTAGCAATAGCGATTAATTTATTGTCCCAATATATGCCACGTTGAAAATATTTTACTGTTAATATAAATCATTGATTTTAGTAGGATCTATTATTATTTATTTTATTTTATATTTAATTTAATTTAATATCAATGTTATAGCGACATATTACGTGCAAACATCTTAATCATAATATGAGTTAAATACTCTTATTATAAAGGTGTTATAAATAAAATATTTTTTATTATTTTTAATAAATAAATACTTTGATCCGGATAAATCATTTAAAAACAAAACATATTTTAAAAGGTCCAATAGCTTAATTATAACAGTATAATTATGTAATGTCCGTAATTATTTTATTTTAAATATTCAGTTGCATTTAAGCATTTTTGTTTTTAACCTATGTTAATTTTAGCGTCACGGTTTACTTCAGTTTGTAATCTGACCTAGACCTTTGATTTGTAGTTGTTTTATCTTGTTAGTTGTTATGCTCTATGGTAGGTATGCGAGTACGGAGTAGTGAAATATTCTCAGTATAAATTCCATTATCTAATGTTTGGCATGGTAATAATTTATCATATTTAATTAGAAATAAATCGATTCATCCAAAAAAATGAATTACTTGTTAAAATAAAACTTATGTATTTTCTATGTTTTATTTTGTTGAATTATTTTTAATTGGCCGGTCATGAACATGTTTAATGTAAAATGAAAATCATGTAAAATAACAATAACTTGAACATTTCATTCTATAAATATTCTACAATATTAATTGTTTAGTAATTATATTAAATTATATTTTATGATTTAATATTATAATTTCTTAATGAAATTACTAGATAACATTAATTGTTCATCTGAAATAATTTTGTTTGTGTCATACCATTGCGGATTGTCAAAAAATAGTGAATATTATATAAGTATACATATAGTGTACCACGTAAACTCATAATTATCTTTTTAATATAATATTATTATTATAGCGCAAACTATACAATAACCTGAGCACACTCATTATTTAGAAAACTGAACGTTTTAACGAATATTTTTTGACACTATTGAATTTATTACAAACCAAAGTTTTTGAAGTTAACTTAACTATACTTGTTCGAAATTAAGTTCATAAATCGATTTTGTCTGAAAAACATTTTGCTTTAGAATAGGTATGAAAATGGATGTGCCATTCTAAAGAGTAATAAAAAGCTTGAGAATTATTATTAGGTGTAACAAAAATATTTTTATGTGGGTTTTCAAAAAAAAAAATAAAAAAATACCAACAGTTTTATATAAAAGAATTTAGTTCATTAATGTGTTAATTATTTTAGTTTCAGATTATTATTTAGAGTCGACATTGTATATAGCTCCCAAAATGATATGGTTTAAATACTGTTGTTTAAATAATTTATGATTGTCTCGGCTAACATTCTTTTGTTCTGTTTGTACGTAAATACAAAATCGGTATCTATTGTTTGTCACGTGAATCTGTACTTTAAACTTAATTGAATTTATCTATATTACCTATGCTTGTTAACAACGTAGATAAAAATTTTAATACTAGTTACATTACAACTCACGATATCACTATTTAAGTAATACTAATATTTAAATACTACACTTTATGAATAGTGAGGTTATGCAAACATTTTATTTTATATAGGCATAGTTAATTTTTCCAAAATATTTTTCAAGTAACTAAATACTAACAAAGTATTAATATATTCTTTGTAGATATACCTACATCGGATTAGACAATATATTATTAACAAATGGTAAACTTAAGTCATAATGTCAAATGCCAGGGATTATTTTTTTTTTTGAGCATCAAGAAAAAAGTTATTACTTGCGTAGTTTCCCTCCTAATCGATGAAATAATTTGCTTAAAAATAAAAAAGATTAGTTTCCTTGTAAATAAATCAAAAATTATAGTGCTTCCTAATATAATAATAATAAATGCGATTTACTCGATTATCATTTGACGACTGTGTATACTCTTTTCAGAATAAGAACGCACCAGATTTACGTAACAAAACCGGTTTTGTCCGTGGCCGCCTGGTTCCTTCTTATTCTGAAAAGAGTATAGTAATTTTGAATTTTTGAATCCAACCAAAAATTAGAACATAGTAAATTAATAATAAAAAAATCGTTCTATTGTTGTATGATTATTTAAATTAAGTTTAGGGTTCATAATATAAACTTATAAGTGCTAAAATATCAATGTGCTAAAATATCAATATATTTCGTTTTTTTGTTACGCTGAAATTATCATCAAGAAAAATCACCTGTACTACAAACACGTCTTAATTGTATTGAATATTTATATAATTATGGCAAGGTTTATAGAATTTGATAAAATTATAATAATTATTTTTCTAGGAAACTGCTGAAACCGAAGATGTCAAAGAACCTGTTAAAACTGAAGTGGAAATAACCGAAGTTGTGGCACTGATTTCTGAAGCTAATGGTGATGTGGAGACTATTGCCGATGAGTTGTCTAAAACTGGAACTGACGAAACAGCTACAGAAGAGGTTCAAGCATCTGCAGAAAAGAAGCGCAAGAAGAAGAAATCCTGGTCGTTCAGAAGCATCAGTTTCTCTAAAAAAGATAAATCCAAACCAACAGTTAAGGAAACAGCCGCTGTTGACGTAAAAACCGAAACAGTTGAAGAGGTAAGATACAATCAAATTAAAAATGTTTAAATCAAATGTAGGTATAGTTACAAACGGTGTCAAGTACTTTAAGTTATGGTTGAGTGGGTATATATGATTATCATTGTTGAAGACTTTTTTAAACCTAGGACTGTCGATTTTTAATTTCAACTAGTTGTATATGAGTCGAATAAATTATATCACAAATAAATTAAATGAAGTATTATTTTCTAATGATATTTAAAAGTATGTACACCTGTACAAAAGCTAACCTAACCTTTTTTTATAGTATAATCTGGTTTTTACCTATAAAATACTAAATTTGATAGTTATAACTTAAGTGAATTAAACTATAATATTTATTTACCAATATTATAGTTTATGATTACCATTTACTTATTTAGTAAAGCAGTTTAATATAATTAATAATATACGCATAAGAAATTGTTTTTAGTTCAACAAATTAATGCTACAAAACATAATATTATATTATTTATTCTGGGATTAGGTAATTTTACATTATGTTTCATTATACATAGATAGGTTTTAGGTTTCTAAGATTCTAAACATATTATATTTAACCTCCGTTATGTCCGTCCTTTAGTTACCAGTACATAGTTACGATTGTTGAAATTAATTTTTTCATCTTAATACAGTATAAGTATTCATATTTCAAAATAAAAACTAGAAATATACTTAACAGTCTTATTATATTATAAATATTTTAATATTAAAGTCTACAGTTGAACAAATAAATAGTTTAATAACGGTTCAAAGTAAATTCATACTAGCCAGTAAAAGTAGGTACACAAATATAAAGGTTAAATTGTGTATGGAATCGTAGTTTATTGCGTTGTATACTAAATAAAATATACTTAGAAACCAAGAATTTAGGACACTCGTAGAGTTAGCTTTCCTAATTTGTTTTATTATAATCGCAAAATATTTCCAATTAGAAGTAGTCGCATATTTTATTATTATTTTGTTTTTTTTTTGTTTTTGCGAAGTTCAGATTATAAGTTTCAAAATACAAATCTTTATTTAAATGCTGGTGTGGTGTTTGATGGGTGATAAGATAAAATCCTTTTTTTCGGCCTAGTTAGTCGGTTTTATTTTACTTTTTTTTTATTATTCTTGGCAGCAGCGTGGTCACAAAAGCAATCTTGGAACCTTGAACCTAGAACGGTGGAGGACGTTGACTTGTGTTTGAACACCCGATGTGTGATAGCCCTATATATCGGTTCCTCTAATGGTGTTTTACACATATATATATAGCGTACTAGATCGAGCGCGTGTTGATAGTCACGAATTTTACTGTGTTTTAATTTTTTGATTGTTGCTAACAGAGAGGCCTACAAGATGTGGATAGGGTTACACTGTTATAGTATTGGTATATACTATATTATAATATGTGCCACGCGCAATCAGGATTAATAACATTTTGATTTCTTAAAAATAGACTACAATAGCAGCTCGAAAATTGTCAGCGTAAACAATAAACATACAAACGCACCTCTTTGATCATAGTATAATATAGCTTATTATATTCAGGCTTACGTGGATATAGTTCGAGGATTTTCTTCCAATACAATATGCGCTACACGACTTTTGTTTACAGGAAACTACGATCAAGGAATTATGAAGTTATTATAATGTCGTGTCTTTTAATTCTGAAGTATTTTTTATCAGTAAACCACACCTTGTTAAGAATTCAAACAATTTATAATATACTCGGTTGTTCCTGAAGGCTTCTGAAAATGTGTTTTGTTTAGTATTTGTTTAAACAAGTTTTATATTAATAGTAAATAAAGTAACCCTCTCTACAGTTTAATTTTAATGAAAAGGGATTCCTTGAGTGGGTGTCAAGAATAATGACTTCCTCTTACTTAACTCCAATAACAGTTTTTCTAAGAGGTACTTACTACTTTGAGTACTAGAACTAGACTCATAAAATGAACTCTTGGCATGAAAATGTGTCCGTTGGGCATTTTCATAACGAGTTTGGAGGTTATTTGCAAGAAATGTAGCTGCTAGAAGCATTTGTCTCATAAATAAGAAGGGAATAAATGTGTGTCAATTTTGAAATTAATATTTACAATGAACAGAATTTAAGGAATATGTTATCTTAAATTGCTTAAAATTTATATTTATATGCTTATTTTAAAATGAATTAATAAGTATATTATTAATTAAATGACTTATTTAAATATAATATCATTAATTTTCATTGGCCTGTTATTGAATATTTTTGCGTATATAATAATATGTTTTATTAGTAAAATATTAATAAACCCCCGTATCAAGAATATATTTATAATTTGTGCTGAAACTTCCCGATTTACTTGCCGAGAGAAAATATATTTAAAAATAAAAGCAATTTTATTTACCTATTGTTTAATAACTTAATTTTCAGACTTTCTGAGTAGTTTTTATGATCATAGGTCATGGTTAAAATAAATAAAATGTAGCTATGTACTACAGTCGTTAAACATGCTCTTTAATTTAAAACGGCTAGCTTTCCACCAAAAGGCATTCCACATTAAGTCCTAACTTCAATATACTCGCAGCGGTCACCATTGCGATATTACAGTAAAATCGTAAACTGTTCGGTCAATAAATGGGTTTTTGTATTAAGAACTGCCCCAACCAAAAACCAAAAATTGTCATACAGAAAAAAATATATATATCTAGTCTGGGAGGGTCTAAAACGCGAGACGCGCACGATCGATCGCTACAGACCCGTCGCGACGCCCCAGTATCCATAGCAACACGTTGTATAGCGGGCTCGAGCTGTAGCGTTTACGTACGTATTATAATATCAAACCGGCCGGTTACCAACTATCCCAAAATTGAATATATCCGCCACCCACATCGGTTACCATCATGATTTGTCCGGTCTGATATTTATTATGTTTTATTCCACCCACATCCCGATTGACAGTATTTACTCAATTAAATACGCATAATATTGGTTAATTGGAAGTATACAAGGTGTGAACGAGATGTTCTGAAAATTACAACCCCATCGAGTGTATTCAAATTAGAAAAAAAGTGAATTAGGAATAGGAAGACCCTTGGCTTATTTATTAAACATTATATTATTACCTTACTTCAAACACCGGTAAATGATAATTACAGAACTAAATCGTATTTTCCGTTTGATGGAATAGATAGCGATATTTGATTCAAATATTAAGACGATATTTAATTCAATATAAAATACAAATATGTTAAAATTATTTATTGATTGTGTATCAATCAGATATTATGTTAATTGAATAAATTACCAGTTAAAAAAAAATATGTTAAACGATAAGGGATTTATTGCTTGTTTTTTTAAAAGCAAAATGTATAGTTAATATTTTTTAATTCTACTTCAGAAATTAGTGTTATTATTATTTTTATATATACTTATAAACTTCAATTTTTCAGTGAAACAATTTAATATGTTTTCATTTATTATGATTTATGATTATTTAAATTATGGCTCTAGCTAATATTTTGTATGTGCCAATAAACATACCATTATTCTTATCATTCAATAACATAATAATCTCAGGAATTTTTCATTATCTTTTTTCGTATATACTCGTACATATAAGTGTGTATGTATTTACCTAAAAAGTATATGCATACAAATATAAGAGCTTCAAATTGTAACTAATTAAAAACAATAGCATTGTGGATATGTATTTAATTTAAATAACGGCCGTATGTTTTATAAGAAAGAGAGGATGATGTCACACCGATGCTTATGTCACACGTGGGAAAATAAGTTCACAAAAGTATTTTATGAATGATCGGAAAGTGATGTCATAGTTAATAACACTATTATAAAATGTAAGAAGAAATATTTTTGAAATTGTGTGGCCTTGATTCTTTATATTATATTTTACTATACCAGATTGAGATACCTACCTATATTAATTGCATGTTAATTATTATTGTTTAGATATATTTGTTTTCGGTAGCATTAAACTGGGAATAATTTTTCATTCATTTTAATTTTACATAAATGTATTAAATATCTTTGTGAAGGTGTTTCGTTTATCGAGTGTAACTGAAATAACAACATTTTGCAATTTGGCGTCCTGCTAATGTAGGCCTTTTTTTTTAATATTCAGGTACATTATATAAATTAATAAAAATATGATAATTATTTATTGTCTTGCAAAATCAACTACAATTTTTAATTGCTGTATTCGTTGCCTACATTATTCAAGCATTATTATTATCGTTTATCGTGTTTTCTTTGCTTTGATAATTGATTCCATGATGTACGCATTTAACAAACTGTTTTATCCTGTATCTAGAATTCTTATAATATGTTGCTGATATAATTTTTTTTTTAACTTTTGAAGTGTGAATAATATAATAATGTAGGTACCGAGAAATAGTAGTTTACATACATTTGTTGTTATTTTATTAGAACTCTGTGAATTACATAACAATGACAGGTGACAGTTATCAATTAAAGCTCATATTTCTTAAACAATATAGTATAAGACAACGCCTCTCATAAGATAATATTTTATGAACGAGAATTATAAATTTAAAACTTGCGTTGTAATAAATGTTTATAAGAAACCAATTCAATACGTTTTTATAATTTGATTGGTATTTGTATTTTAATTTTAATTTTTAAATGATATAATATAGGTACTAAATTATACAAATTTAAATGTACATACTTTTTAATATTTCAGTGTCGAAGTACTATCAAGGTACCACAATACCTTTTGTAAAAACATTTTGTTCAAAAAAAAAAATTCAGTTTTATCATTTTTATAAAAATATATTTGATGTTATATCGTTATAACAGTTATATTAGTTAATAACTTACTACTTGTTACCCATTGTAATATATTTTGTTATTTATAAAAGCCGATGAATTAGTTTTCAAATCAAATTTTTATAATATGTAGGTAGGTCACAGTTGAAAATAAAATTAATAGTGTTGTTCTTTAGTCGCTGTTGTTTGAGTTCTATCTTAATGGTTCCGAAAATTTGCATATACCTATTTAATAATGGGAACACCGCATAAAATATAG